ACATATATGATGTAAAATGAATGGTACGTGTTAATTGAAAATGTCTTCACTTTATTTAAGTGATTTATTTCGTTTTTTTTGTTGCCTGATCATTTAATTATCATCGATAATATAGGTTTACACGCTACACGTCAATGATTCAGAGGAAATTTTGGATACACTTGCTTCATGTAGCTACCACTCGAGAACATTCTTATGTCACAATCGATTGTGCACTTGATTGAGTTTTCAATATGTGGCTTTATTGATGTGTTTGATTATTGTGTTCACACAAATTTTATTTGCATCGTTGATAAACTTGTATATGAGGACTTTAATAAGAGAAAGATAAAGTGAACCTTTTCATAAATTTAAATTAGTTTGTACATAAACTGAAAAGTGAAAAATCAAAACATAAATTGAAATTTGTACATAAATTAAAAAGTAAAAATTTAAGTAAGTTATATAAGAGAAATTCTACCCTATAACTTTTTCATAACTTAATTTTAACTTTTCGAGAAGTTAAGTTTTTTTTCCACCTATAAAAATCTTCAAGGCAAGGTTTATTTAAACATTCATTATTGTTATCTATAAACTATAAAATAATTGAAGAAGATAATAAATAATTTTGGCTTAATTATGTTTAAAATCTCTAGTAAATTTGAAAATTTTTAATTAAGTTTTTTAATAAATTTTTATAATTTATTAAATACCCAATAAATTTATATTGTTTAATTGAGTCCTCACAGTTTAATTTTTCTGTGGACTATTAAGTTGATAACATGGATGTTATTTTATAATATCACATTGCTGAGTTTAGAAAACATATTATTCAAACATTATAAACTTATGTGTCACCTATATATAGTAATGGATAATGAAAATAAGTTACAGTATGTGTTATATTTTTATTTTATGCATTTTTTCTTATCTTTAATTTATCTCCATTTCTTTTCAAGTCATTTTATTACTTTTGATTATTTACATAATGTAATATCCAAAGTGTGAGTCCAAGTTCCTCCTTAGATAAAAATAAGAAAGTAAAGCAATATATAAAGATAAAAGACCCTTTAATCATTGTCTTAAGGTTTTGTGTAAAGAGTGGTGTCAATCCTTTATATAATTTGCTCAGATGTTATTGGTGTTTATGTAATCCAGGTAAACCTTCTCCTTGATGACCCAAAATAGATATATAGTTTGCTTTCCTTCCGAATTACCTCATCAGCTAATCATCAATTATCATTTATTATTGAAAAAAATTTAATAATTAACAATATATCAAAATCGTGCACTTGCATTATTTCAAATTACACCACACAACAAAAAGAAAAAAACATACACTTTGTCACGACATATGATATATGATGTAGACGCTGGCTATCTTTATTATTTTAATTGAAACCATAAATTTGCATTTGATTTGATTGTGACATCTCTCTATCTTTCAAAGACATGGTTTATATCAGAAAACTATAATTCACCGTTCTGGCCGCAATCTTCTTCTTTATTCATTTCTCGTATAGAGTGTTGTTCCAGTTTCATCTCTCACGTCGAATAATTAACCTTAATAATTATTTCATTGTTTTACAACAGTTGTGTAATTTATTAAAGCAATATAAGAAGGAGAAGAGAATAGACATAAGTAATATTATGATCAGGATGTGAAGAAATGATTGCAGTGATGCAAGAAATTTGAATCTAAATGGGAAATCAGTGGCGGAGCCACGTATGATTAATCATAAGAAGTTGAATTAGATGTATGATACATCTTTACACGTAATATTTTTTACAAAGGTGAAAAAATAGAAAATGAAAAGAATGAAAATCCAATTGGAACAAGACAAACATCTAATGTGAGTTGTTTCTGTTGGGAAGAGCCAATGGGGAAAGAAAGAGATGGAAATAATCACATTGACAAAGGCAGAAAGGTGCAGACGGAAGGGATTAGTAGTTGCATAGATATATGTTTTGGAGGAAAGAAAGGAATAGAACTAGGAGCAGGCAGAAGGAGCAAAGCCTACTGTGCGTTTTCCAAAGTCAAAATCCCAGAGATGGTCTTGCTGCATGATATTGCCAATGACATTTACACCAGCTGCACCCAGTATTGGCACAATTCCAATGCACTTCACTTGGGGTGCCACATCAATGATGTAGCTCTTAACTGGTGGCTCAAACTTTGCTCCCCCTGCAAAGTGGAATGCTAATCTTGGCACTATTTTATCATCAAACCCATCACTTTCAAAGCAAAATTCTAAAGCTCCAAAATCTTCTGCAGCTAACCTCTTCACTGTGCTTAGGGGCTTCGTCAGACCCTCAAAAACTGGATCATAGGCTGGGGTGAGTAGTGCAGTCAGGGTTGTGCCGGTGTCAACTATGGTGCCTCCTTGAGCATCGAAATTCCAAACCTCAGGTGTGATATTCAGCATTTGGTTCCCAAGTGAGATGCCAACCACACTCACACCATAGAATGGAGGAAACAGAATGAGTTCGGTTTTTTGCATTTCGGCCAGCAATTTGGCTTTGTGATGGCCTCCAAGAGTTAGAACACTAGGGACGTCTGTGTGGCTCAAATGGTCAACAAGACAATAGGAGAATTGGGAACCATATTTGCTACTTGCTTTATCAATGAATGAGTCCTTGAAATAGCCCAGTCCCAATATGCCACCAGTTTCTTCGTTGAAGTTTATCCCATCTAGCATTTCTTGTGTGCACCCAACTGTCAGATTATTCAGTTTTTCTTCCTTCCCATTTGAACTGCCTAATATGATACTGTCAGTGCCAAAGAACCCCTTTGCAGATGATCCATCAGCATACCTGTCAATTATAACATCAGAAATGTCTAAAATCAAACAGTGTAGTGCAAAAGCTATGCAGATGGGGTGGTGATGCTGTGCTAGTAGACAGACACTGTGAAGCCTTGGATACAGAAATGTGGGTCATGTGATTCTCACCTACTAACATTAATTCTCATTTATAACAATGGTTGGATACCGGAAACAATGCTTGCTGGCTCACCAACAGGTGCATGCCACTTTTTGTGCTTGTGTCTGTTTACGAAGGCTACCTTTTTGTTAATTAGTAACCCCCAAGATTTTTCCTTTCTTAAAGAAAGAAAACAAGTGTGGCACATTTAGATCTTTGGTTATGATGCCCATAAACAGAAGGCTTGTTATAAATGTACACTCACTCCTTTCACAACTTTAAATGCTTTGTTGGACCTGTAATGTTCTCTTCTTATAACTGTTCCTTAATAGGATAATGATATGTCAAAACTTTAAATACCCCAAAGCAAAAACCAAAATCATAAAATTGTCTTGTGAAACAAGTACTACCATTTGAACCTTAAACCAAACAACCTACAAGGCTCAATTGACAAATCATAAAGATGGAATTGTGCCTTGAATCATGCCATACTTAATAATAACATTAGAAAAAATGAAACTTGAATCTCTTTCAGAAGAGAAACATTCCAAATATTTTCTAATGAAACCAGTCTTTCAAAAGGACATACCCTTCCAACCGCTTTAATTACCCATCTCACTCGCACAGAGACACAAACCGAAATTGAGGTCCAAAACAGACAGCTATTAATTTCTCCCAACCCTCCAATTCAATTTTTTTTCTTCCAACAGATATTTAAAAAAAAAACAATCTTATTCAAATCACAGTCAAACATAAATTGTTTCGTTTTACAATGATTCTAACTTTAATCCACCATCCTAAAAAACAAGCCACTTTCATCTTATCCTGTTCATTACCAACTCCTTTCCAGAATGAAAATAACACAGAGCCTCATCCTCGTTCTCATCTCCTTTTTCTTTTCTAGAAAAGAAAAAATTAAAAGAGGAAAAAAAACAGTTGCCCCATTCCTCCCATCTTTCCACAACAACCCCATTAATTGATTTCCACCAATACTCCAATATCAAGAAACAAAACAAAAAGAAGAAAAAACTTTTTCACTCCCACCCAATCAAAGAAGAAGAAAACTTATACGAACATATAACATCATTGCACTGCCGGTTTGCAGTGAAAGTTAAAAAATGTCTCCCCAACAAGAAAACTCATCAAACAGCAATGCATATTGTTATAATAAAAGTCTAAATCTGATAAGAAAATGTTAAAATGAGATTTTGCATGGTGATGAAAAAGAAACAAGAGAAGGAAGAATTTGACGAACCCGATATCGTATAGGCAAGGATCAGATGGATTGGGGCAATAGGTCAAGGAGAAAAGGTCGCTGAGGTCAACCTTACACTTTCTGGAAGCACACGTCACAGAGTGAAACGTTCGAGACTTGTCGGGACAGTACACACCAATGCAGGGATCGTTCTTGTTCTTATTCCTGGCCTTCTTCTTCGTTCTGGTGTGGTTCTTCGACCCTCTGTGGTGGTGGTGGTGGTGGTGGTGGCTCCTCGCGCGACGCAGACGCTTCTTCTTCGGACTCTGGCGTGGGACATCGGCCTTCTCCCGCGAGTAGCAGTTGAACCACGTGAACTCGCTGCCGGTGTCGGCGGCCAGCCAGAGTTTCTGCCCCGGCGTGCCCACCTTAACCTGCACGAAGTACTCTCCGATGCCGAGGTCTCGCCCGGTGAGCAACGGCATTTCCGCTTCGGACGTGTCCGAGTCTGTTTCCGCGGCCCTCCTCCGCGTGTCGTAGTCGTCGTCATACCCCAGCCTTTGGTTGATCTGCAGTCGTCGATGGTTGTCCCTCTGGACGAACCCTTTGAAGGCCTCTACCCGATCCAACTTGCCGCCGGTGAAGCGGTCATGGTTCCGGTGCACCAGCTCGAGTCTGGCGCCGTGCACAGCGGCGGGGAGAGAAAAGAGGAGGAGGGCGAGGGTGAAGGTGAAGAGAATCGAAACCTTAAACATGTTGTCGGAGTTGTTGGTTTTGTTCCATTGCATCATCCTCCCCATCAATTGTGTAATGTGATGTGTTGATGATGATAACGAAGATAATGATATAAAGATGACTGTGGTAAAATAGCAATGTGTGTGTTTTTTTTGGGTTTGAAGAATGGGTGGTTGATGAAAATGGGGTTGAGAAGGAAGGAATGAATGAATGAATGAATGAGAGGGGGAGAATAAAGGGGCTAGAAATGTGAGGGAGAATGAGATTGAGCTGGTTTTGGTGGTGATGGGTCCATTTTACTAGGATGGATGGAGGTGGGGGACACCAGCAACCAAGATATATATCATATACCACACTGGATTTTCAAGGTAGGACCTTTGTTTTCGTAAGATTTTTCACACCCTTTTGCCTATATATACATATACCTACATACATATATCATTTTTACATTTTCTAGGTTTTTCAAAGTTCTAAGCTTTTTCTTTCAAACTTTGTTTTTTTTAAACAATGACAGATAATATACATGCTAAACTGTAACATATGACAGTAGGATATGTTTGTTTGTGGAAGAAAAAACCTAACTTCATATAATAAGGGTAAATCGATAATTTGGTGCTTCAATATATGACTTGATGATAACAATTAAATACTAGTTATCGAGTTAAATATTTAAGAAAACACACTTTCTAAAATAAATATTTGAATATTTCAAAAATCAAATTGATTTGGAGTTTAATATTTATACAAAATTAGCGGAAACAATTGTGAATCAATAAAAAACAGTTGTGTAATTTTATATCAATGATTGTATGTGTTAACAATGTAAAGGGCATAAATTACTTTTTCTATTTTGATCATATTATATTATTATTATTATTATTATTATTATTATTATAATGATTATGAATGTTTTGTGATTTAGTTTGTGATGGTATTAGTTTGTTTTGTATCGTGGGTGGCTCTTTCTCTCTCATGCTTTCAACATCAACGTCGTTTTTTGCTAATTTGTTTTTGGGGTATTGTCTTGGTTGGCTTCCATAATTAGTGTACAGTTTTTGCAGTGCTAACTATTTTGGATGCTGGTTCAGTTGCGACCACCACCACCCTTCATATTATTTTAAGTTAAGAGGTTTTTGGTTTTTCCCTTTTTCTGACGCCATTTTTTATTAGTTTGTTGGTCTTGCCCACAAAATTTGAGAGGGTTTGGGTTAATTTGCCTTTTTTAGAGTATTAAAAAAGGCATGATTTTGTTGAGGAAATTCAAGTGAAAAAATGAGCATTCTTTTGTTTTAGGGTGGTAGACTTCAAATTTCAAAATAGTTTTAGATTGTCAATTATAACCTTACATAAAAGTTTGAGCGATCTTGGAAAATCATAATTCGACATTTTAAAATTCAATAGCCTGTGTGTGGCAATAAGTTATTATGTTTGAAATGGGTCTAATTTATCTAATAATAATAAATGATAATAATAAAACTATGGGATTTAATTGAACCAATTATAGTGAATCTACTTCAATTTCTAGTTCTAATTTTGATTTTTCATTTGTAACTCTATCTATCAAATTGAATGTCACAAATAAATTTCTTCGAATTTGAAAATATGTAACTAATACTATATGCTATTTCTTTTGGTTAGATTTATTAATTGTTAGTGAAATTAAAAATTAAATATATTTTCAGTCACTTAATTTATATGTAAAATTAAAATTTATTCTTATCACAAATTTTGATGTAATTTATTAAAAGATTATTTAATACAAAAAATAAATTAACGTACTAAAAATATATTTAAACTTAAAACTATCAATAAATTTAACAAGTAAAAATATATTACTTATTTAATTTATTAATAAATTTAATAACTATTGACCGCAAATTGCTACAAAAGTTTCATGTGATATATATCACCAATTTCTAAGTTAAGTGAGACAACAAAACTAACAAAATAAAAAAATAGAATTCAAGAGAACGGTGAGAAGAGTTATTTCTGTGTTTGGAAAGCTTTTAAGGTTAAGTATATATAGGGAAAAGAAGCAAATTAATCATGTGTAACTAAAATAAAACCAGTCAAGGAATTTAAAAGATTATTGAAAAGAATTAACACATTTTATAACTTATTAAATTTCCTTAAGAATAAACATGTAATTTTTTTTTAACAAATCATATTATAGAAAAAGGATGATAAATAAATTCGTCTTGTAATATAGATAATAATTAATATTTTAAATTGAATATTACTAACTTATTACTACTAATGGATTTTCGTCAATGAATAATTATCAATAATTTTTTTATCATCGATAACTACTAACATATTTTCCTTTTATCGACGAAAATTGTATGGACAATTGTTTGATCATTGGTAAGTTGTCGATAATTTTAATTTATCAACATATTATATTTTAATGATTACCAACAAATTTTGATTATGAGTAAATCCATTTATTCTTGTAGTGCTTATTAAATAATTTGTATTATTAATAACTTGTTCTATGAAAAATTAACCACTTTTGAATTACTTTCATTATGAAGTACAAAAGTAATAAAATCACCTCAAAAGATTTTTCTTTCCTTTTCATTTTATCTCCTAAAATATCTTATATAGGTTTAATGTAGGTTTAAACAGATTGACTAGAACTTTAATTAACCCGGGTAATTACATTATCAAAGGAAACATGTTCTCAAATAACTTAATTGTTAGTCTAAATGAGTGTATTAAAGTCATGCACATTAATCTTAAAAATAAGAAAATTATAGATAGTACTAAGTTTAAGATAATGAGTAAATACGCAATTAAATCTTTTGGAGTCTTTTCTTTTCTATTAAGGTCAAGTAACATTAGCTTAGTTTGGCATTCTATGCTTTTAAGCATTTCAAGTTTGATTGATATCATTAATTCATAAGGATTTATTTAGTTTTCTCATATGGAATCCTATTTAGCTGAAACGGAAGATATTAACTCATAAAAATTGAACAAAAAATTTAAGCCTCCATATTTTTGCTTTGAGTGAAAATAAGTTAAAAATTAACCTTATATTCAATCTAACAATAAAATAATTCAAAATTTACTAGTTTAAAGCAAAACATTTAAGTATAACAAAATTTTCAACGTGTAATTAACTAAGTTGAAAGAATCACTTATATAAATTAATCCACAATGGCAAGTTAAAAAAAAGGAAAAATAAAACATATAAAGAGTAAATAGAAATTTACTCACTTTAAAAATATGATTAGTTAAAATTGATTCTTAACAGCCGGATGTGACCAAATTTTGTAAGAGACGAAGATTTGGAGAAAGAGAGAAATTTTTGTAGAGAAATATAAAGAGGAAGTAAGGTAAAAGTTGTCAATAATAAATTGCATTTCTTATTTAAACTAGATTTTAAGCTCGATTTAACATTGAATTTACTTATATATTATAACTTATATATTATAACTTTTATATTATAACTTATATATATATATATATATATATATATATATATATATATATATATATATATATATATATTTATAGGACATTATATATATTTATATTTTGTGAGATGTTCAACCATTTAAAACCAATCAATTTAAAACAAATTATTAAATATATTAATAGGACATTATATTTTGTTAACTAATTTATTAAAGTGACTTAATTAATTAAATTATTACTAAAAACATATATGTCATGAAATATTTACTATATAGAGACTACAAACAATATTTTAATTTGTTGAAGGATCAAATTAAAATATTGAAACTTAAGAAAAAGTAATTGATAGAGATTACATTCTCATTAGAAAAGGAAGTCAAGAGAAAACCCAAGATGATCTATAGTTAAAAAATCATATATATATATAAGTTAACCTACATTATTTCTAATGATTAATCTGCTTTCGCTTACTACTCTAGAAGAATTAAAAATTAATTTAATAAAGAAAATGTTTATGATTTATTAATTATCTATCTGTTTTGGATTCATAATATAAGATTAATAATCAATTGCATTTCTTATTAAACTATATTTTAAACTCAATTTAAAATTATAAAATCAATTTAAATAAAATTTTGTATTCATATATATATATATATATATATATATATATATGTAGAGTTAGACATAAAATATTATTTGATTTTACTTTTTCTTCATTTATCTATTTATAGTATCTCTATGTTTTTTTTATCTTAGAAACTAACACTCTTATACACTACCAATAAATGAACATACAAAAGTCAACATTATTTTGTACGGAGGGATAAATTTTGCAATTTCTTAATTACCAACCAAAATGGTATTTTTTAAGGATTAGTTTCCAATTTTTTTAAGGACTAAAAAAATAATTATCTAATAGTAAAATCGTATTTAATTCAAAGGATTATGTGGTGGGTAAAATAATTACATTGCAAATGGCAACTTAGTTTTATTTTAAAACGCCTAAAACGAAAAATGTTTACAACATAATATTTTTTATTTATAAAACTAAGTTTAAATGTAAACATATTATGTTATATTATGTAATATTAATTAATTTGTGCCTCAATATTTAAACACTCCATAATGTTTTTCTCTCTTTAAATTAGCCAACTGCTTAAAATCTAACATCTTTGATAGTTAAAATATATTTTATCGTTCCTCAAATCTCAACTTTTTCTTTCTTTTTCTTCAATGACAGTTTTCTTTATAGATGTGTAATTCTCAAAAGAAATAATCTTTATTCAATATAATTTATGTGAGCATTTTTAAGTAATATGTAAAAATAATAAATAAAAACTATCACTACAAATAATAGTTTTAAATTACAAGTAAAAAATCTTAAAAGAATCAAGTATTTTTAGTAATTGTTCAATTAAATTTTTTTAGATTAAATGTGGTTTCAATATTTATTAAATGAAATTAAGGTGGTTCATTTAATTAAATCAGAGTCCGTGTCCTTAAAAAGTAATGATTTAACATCTTAAGTCATCTTCCTTCTTCTTCATCCATGTGTTTCTTCTTTATTTTTGTTTCCTCTCCTACTTCTTCCCTCTCCAAGAAGAAGAAATTCTCCATCTATTTTTCTATAATCACACACCCCTTTATGTTAATCTACTCTTTTTATTCAGTGTTTTTCTCTTCTTCTTTTTTTAATGAAATGAATCACATTAACTCCTTTTAATAATAAGTATTGGAACTATATCAAGTTTAAAATAAATTAAGAAAAAACATTAAATAACTAATATAAATATTGGGACAAAAGAAAATAATGAAGCGCTTTTGAAGTAAACATAGTCTATGTAAATGTATAGATCTAGAACCCATTCACACAATATTAAAACAGTGTTTAACCGGCAAAAGTTAGATCAA